ACGAGCTAACAATTAATACTCAATTACAGACATAAGTGCAAATAGGCAATGATCTAATTATAGGTTTTGGAAATCAGGGTAGATTTTTCAGATGAATTATTTTGAATAATTTTAGTAAGCCGAAGGGATATATGTGAGTTCCACATTTTAGCCCCAAAGGGCTGCACTAACAAGCTTTTTTCTTAGACATCTAATTTTTCAGAAAATTGAAAGCTACTTCATATAATAATAACAAATTAGAGGAGGTGTGGCCGTTATCATATGGATTTATTGTACACACAATAAGAGCAACAATTATACAACAGAACAATGTTTACCATACAGTTTTACATTGAAAATAATTACTAATTTCTTCGAAACTAAATAGAATTTCACCAATTGGTACATCAAGTGCAACAGAAACGCCTGTAACAGTAGCAACTGCTGATAATATTTCGCATTTTTGTAGAAGCTCATTCTTGGATATTGTCAAACGTAAGTCTTCATCTTATTTAAAAAAAAGATTTCCACAGCGCCAATATATGTGTACGAATGGGCATTCTTTACCAACAATAAGGCCAGTGTTTATTGCAAATATCATACCCAACGAGAAATGGTTAAAGACTTTCTTTTCAAAAGCTGCTTTCTCCTGATCAAAAGAAATCGTTTTTTGTGATAATAATTCTTCTGATAAAATGGAAAAGATGAATGTTTGATGTTTGAATAAACCCCTGAAATAGAATGGTTATTCATCAGGATGTTCTCTTTCATTTTTCATGTTTTTATTCTTTATTAAATCCACATTATTTCCTGAATCCATTGATTCTTCTTTTTATGTAATCTTGCATATCAGACAATCATAATTCACTAAAAGAAGGGAAGTGATATTAGAAAAATTGATTGTCTTACCCAACACTATCAGCATACTCTTTAAAGGACAATGAAAGCATCAAATGTTCATTAACACTCTGAAATTTAAAACAAAAGAGGTAATATCATATGATTATAATGACCAATCTCAGATTTCGGTTTCCTATGCAAGATCTACAAGAAAACAGTAAATGGCTGAGCAATTTATAATAGTTTTCTATTTTTCTAAAATTAATAATCAAGCATGTATTCTTCAGAGCACAGGACACACAGTCCGACGTATTAAAAGGCTACAATACGGCGTCAATAGCCATCCTATTTCGTCGTAATATGTTAGCCAATTTACGGACCGATTTTTCGTTCTAACACAGTTACCGTTTCTACGCCGTTTTCTTGTACCGGAGTGCATGAGTAGTTCTTAATTGTTACTGTTTTAAGCGCAGAATCGCTCGGTTTACTGAATAGTAATAGTTACATTGAAAGGAAACGACAAAAGAGTGTGCATGTTCGTCATCCTTATTCGCCTGAAGTCACACTCTGATGTAGCTGCTATTATTCATTTCAGAGTAATTGTTTCATTCCAACTATTTTTAGAATACATATTTTTATTTTATTCTGTCAAAATTCAGCAACAACGTAGTGATACAATATCTGTCAAGTTCAACAGTTGAACTACCGATTTCTACCTTTAATCTTCAATAGCACTTTCAGATAGTATTTCACAAAATCGCTGCAAAAGTACGAATGATTTTGTTCGGCAATTCAATGGCGGATTTATTCATTATGTGCACACAATTCTTTGTCAACGAAATTGTTTTAGTAAAGTATAAACTCTACTTTACTAATTGTCCTATTATCTAAATTCAAACTAGTCGATATTCAAAACGTTTTACTTCTGTATAATAACTCAACCATTGGTAGTAGCGCGCAGAGGTCTTCTTTAGAAGTTCAGTTCCCTACAATGTCCGTCTAGTTATGTTAGAAATAAGATGAATTTATTTTTGATATTTTTATTTATAAATAAAGATAAACGATGCAACATTGATTTCAGAATTAGCAGTCAAACAATAATAAATATACACAATTAATACAATACCAATTTTACGTATATATATATATACGTTATGCCATATTTTCAATTTCACCTATAAGAATTAAATTAAAGAACGAAATTGAAATCATATCAAAACTGCAAACATACGAGCAAGAGGCTTGAAGCCAAGTATTCTGATAATTCTAGCCAAACATGGAAGATCAGCTCGTGTTTGATTCAAAGCCCAATGTTCTAAACTTCTTAAACATCTTTCGTGTTTCGATGGATATTGTTGTTCAATATGTTGAATAATTTCATTGCTTAACATTAATTCTCTTGCCAATTGTTTCCATATTCGAACACATTCATCACGTTGACAAATACGCATAAACGGAGCTCGAAATAATTTCAATTGGTCTAAAAGAAAAACATGAATTTCATTTTTTTCAAATTTTTCATTTCTCTTACCATCTTTTGAAAATGTTCCTTGTTCAGAACGTTTATCATCTTTAATGGATTGTAATTCTTGTGCTAAATCCCATCGATTTATATTCATTAAACCATGTGTTAGTAATATAACTTTATCTGATGAACGTGGTACACGTTTAAACCACGCAAGCAACATATAATATGGCGCATCGTCATGATAATCATGTTCAATAGCTTCAATACGTATGCGTGTCATTCCTAAACGACGAGCTAATCGACGCCATTCATCACCATTTAAACTTGTTGACATATCACGAAAGAGTGTTGGAGTTAAAACTCCTGAAATAAAAGAATCGTAGGCAAGTTATTAAATAAATAATAGTTTTTCGTTTACCTTCACCGGTAAAACTTGTTAAACTTTTTTGTACAGGTGCTCGCATATCAGCAGGAGGTTTCGGTAGAGTAACAAGTAATTCAGCGAGACAAATGTCAGTTTCATACGAATCTTGTTTGACCTTTAGAAAAATAAATAAATATTTTGAAGGTTTCACTTTAGAATATGATTTGTTTGATTTAAATTCATATTCAATTCAATAAGAGGCCCGTAATAAAATTTTATTGATGTCAAATAGAGTTAGAAAGAAAAAGAGTAGGAAGAAAATTTTTATGATGGAATCGATGTCAAAAACTCTTGAATTATTTCGAGTGGAAAAAGAAAATGAATGACGTCTTATGCATCACTCACCACATCTGATTGTTGTTTCTTTCTGTCGGCGTCTTTTATTGAATTGCGTAATTTTTGTTTGGCAAAAACTTGTATAAATCCATAGAAATAGGATGATAAATGTTGAGAATATCGATCTATTTCCGATACATTTGTTTCGAAATAAAATGGAAAATAGGTGTTAAATGCAAATGGAATTAGTTTTTGATCCATATCCATTGGCACAACATTACCACGAAAACGTAATTCTAACAGTTGTCCTTCTTGTAGAACAATTTCTTTTATTTGTTCATTTTCTGTGGAATAATTTTCTTGTCGAATTTCATTTTCAACAGAATCTGTCCGTTGACTTGAACAACACACAAGACAGATTTCACTCGGATTTGCTAAACGACGACGAAGAAATAATGTTGCACATCGTTGATTAAGCGTTTGGTCAAATAGAGAAATAGCTGTCGGTAATTGTTTTACTGCCATTATTTGTTTATCATATCGGGCAACAATCATTCGACAATGTAAATATTGTAGATCAGTTGTTATTATATCGTGTGTTTTCGAATCAGCTAAACGAATATCTGTGTCAATATGCCATGTATTTTCATTGGAACTCGAATAGAGAAGAACAATTCGTTCATTACTTGAATCTTTTAAAGAGAAAATTCGGAGTTTTTAAGGTGAAAAATGAATAATTGATGTTTTTTTTTCTTTTCAACTAACCTTCACCAATCATTGATTTAAAAATTGATTGCTGTTGTTGAGCGACCGTTTGTTGTTGAGGCACTTGACTAGTCGTAGCTAGTGGTGGAGGAACACTGGACTCATCGTTTGATGCTGGTCCTGTTTTTTGTGATGATGCTTTCTTTTTCGGTTGTACTAAGATTGGTAATGTAAATTGAATTGGTTTCATTAAAGTGATGTCATCAAATTTAAGTTCAATGATGGGTCCAACAGCTAATAAACCTTGACATTCATGTGAAAAATCATGAGAAAACTGTATGAATGTTGGTAGATCAACAGGTTGAATACAAATATCGATAGAAAAATCATTTGACGAGACATTTTTCGGCCATTGAAATGTAAAACGTGGATCAGAACTTGATAAATACCGGCCGGATGATTGATTTTCTATCAATACTTTATCCCGTTTCAAACGCGATACGACGGCACACACTGAAGATTCAGGTAGTTTACATTCAGCAAAACGTTTGTCCTAATAATAATAATAAAAAAAGAATAGTAAAATTGAAGTTCCCTCTTGCTACAAACTTTATGTGAATCGAATGTTGGTTCATTGGTCTCCATCGACATCCATATACCGTTCGATTGACGAACTTTAATAACATTTTCACGATGAGATGATCGTTTAGCAATATAAGGAATAGCAACTAATATGAATTGCTGCCTATTTGTCTATAAATAAAACAGTGAAAAAACCAACACTCGAAGAACAGAACAAACAAAACATTACAATGAAATCAAATTTGATGTTTAATGGTGTACTTATAAGTTCTTCTTGACTGTCAAGTAAATTTTCTGTTTCAGTAACAACTAAATAGTTAACATTAATTGGCATCGAAACAGCATCAGGCGACGTTCGCACAATGCATGCTGGATAGTGATTATCATTCATGAAACTAATCAACAAAGAATGAAATTTCAGAGGTTTGATTCAATGTAAAACATACTCGCGGACGAGCCAATTGGCAAATTCATCTTCATGCGCTTGACTTTTTGCCATTGCTAATAAGCGTTCGTCTTGTTGTTGTTGTTGTTGTTCTAATTGTTTTTGTTGAAGTTCCTGACAGAAAAGAATATTTTAGATCCTCAATATCTTTTCGGTTTTAGTGATTCGTACTTTCAATCGTTGCCGTTCTTCTTCTAGTCTTGCACGTCTTTCATTTTCGGCAGTACGATTTCTTTCGATTTGTTCCTGCCGTGCTTTGAGTTCAAGCGTCTGTTGTTCTAATTCATCATTAGCACGCTTCGCCATTTCAGTTGCTTTAGTTAATACCATTCTTGCTTCTTGCTGTAATTGTACAGCGGCCGCACGACATTCTAACGCTTCAGCATTCAATGCCATTAGTTTAGCTCGAATGTCGAAATCATCACCTATTAAAAATATAACAATAAAGATGATATAACACAAAAAAAGAGGTACCGGATTCTTGCTCAAGTTGTTTTTGCTCAAGTTGTATTTTTTGTTGAGCATTCGCACGTAAAATTTCATTAATTTCACTCAATGATACATCGAACTGTTGCAATTGATTTAAGATTTGCTGTTGATATTTTCCAGTTTCTTTCAATGATTCTCTTGATATAGTTATGATTGAACATAATTTATTCATATCATAATCGCGTACAGTTTTATTTTGTCGAAGGTCAGCGATTTCATGGCAGAGATCACCTAATGGTTTATCGAGCATTGTTGTTGTCGTCATCATGTGCTTTTTTATTTTTTTTAAATACTAAAAAGTGAACAATATAAAATACACTACTTCTTTTTGCCCTACTCGAAATACCTACATTCTCAATACAATGAAATGGAGAAGTTGTTACAACAACAATGATGCCGATGGCGTCCGCCTTTTCTTTTTTTTTTATATTGTTTCTATGATGAAAGCAAGAAATGATTGTTTTTTTTTTTGAATAAAGAAAAAAAATCCGAGTGGGAGAAGAAGCACTACTGCATTTTATTTTATTTTATTTCGTGTGCCCGAGTTGCAAATAAGGTAGAATATGTCAATATGAGATTCGTTGCAATTTTCGATATATATTTGTGTGTGTACAACACCTTAAGTGTGAAACTTCAAAGTCCTCAATAAATTCTGTTGTTAAGATAATCTTATAAAAACAACAATCAATAGAATCGATTTCAATCAAATAAATAGTTCGTTGTTATTGTTATAGTATTTTATTGTTCATTGCAGTTTTTAGAAAAAGCAAAAAGATATTCTTTCTAAATGCATGTGAAGGAAAAAACAATCGTGTTTATGTTCTTAATGAAGATGATGTTGTTGATTGCGTAGCTGTTAATAAAGATTCTCGATGTGATTCAAATAATTTTGGTATTTGTAAAAGCATGCTTATTGTACCAATAAATGTAACAATAAGAAATACAAACAATTGAATACGATCTAATACAAGTGCAACATATTTCCATTCATTATAAACCTTTAAAAAAAGAAAAGAAACAATTTTTTTAAATTTCCGATCACCGTTTTTCATCTGTTCGTCTTACTTTCATTTCTTCGGTGTCACCTTCAATTTTTTTCGATAAATATTTTATATCATCTGAGATTTTTAAAAGTTGCTCAATTAAATCATTTATTTCTTCGGGTACGTCATCTGGATTACTTTTTAATTTTCGCATTAATACGGGAGAATCTATAGATGATATGTGTTTTCGATTTGCAAGAGGATTTTTATATGGTTTATATAAAAATAAGCATGTAGGTAATGTATGAAAAAATATCGTTCTCATCCAATACGGCACAGGAATTAATACTGATGTACGATGATGATTTAAATGTAAGGATAAAACTGAGAGAAATACGGTTAAAAGATTCATTATGAATGTAAACATCAAATATTTTGATATTAAAGGAATACTTAATGAAGTCGATGGAAGAATTTTTGATATGAGTAACATAAAAAAAACTAAGGCGACAAGTATTGAAGTGCATAGCATCATTTTTTCTGCGGCATCACTTGGCAAGCAAAACAAAGTGATACTTAAAAGAGATATCATCATGGTTGGAAGGATTAAGTTTATTGTATAGAATAAAGATTTACGTCGAATAACTAAAAATAGTATTAATCAATCAGAAGAAAATTGACAATTTATGATATTAATTTACTTAGAAAAAACACCATTTCAGAGCGAGTTTCATAGGGTGGTTCGGTTGATTGAAAAGTACGAATTTCAGCTGGAGCATCGATCAATGTCCATATGCCTGATGGAACATAATCGGATAATTCTATTGAATTAGCCATTGCGTACCAACCTAATAAAATCATCTGATTGAGCTGATGAATTAAAATATACGATAATACAAACCAAAACGAATTTGCGAAGCAGTTCGACCACTAGTACCAAATCTCAATTCACATGTCTGTTCATCTAAACAGACAATCTTAAAAATACAGCACAAAAAAATACTTCACGGTACCGAATGGAAAATATTCTACATTAATTGTCTAGAGAACAAAGCATCGAAAACTTTATTTTGATTTATCGAGTATACTAAACTTACACAAGTCAATTTATAAATTGCTGGTGGTATCCATAGGATATGTCCATCGGAAGAAATGACGATATTACATTTGAAACTTGCCTCGTAATTACCTAAGAAGTAGCCCAACAATTGTCACAAAGAAAATGTAACCAAAATAATTTACCGTCGCCATTACTATGAGAAAAGAAATATTATAATGAAAGAGAAATTATTTAATGCAAAATATATATGTTTCAATACTTGAAAAGAACTAAATCCGGCGTCCAAACTTGATCCGGTGGTACACGAATACTATCAAGACGACCTGAATTTTTCAATACAGAAATATATTTTCTATAGATTGAAACAAACCAAATCGATCAGGATTCCATTTCATTTGATAATCATACCAACGAAGTTGTAACCACACATTAACTTTAACGATTTGCTCCTTTTCATAAACATTTATTATTTGTGTTAATGCTAAACCAAAGTAAACATATAATGGTTCGCTTTCATTCGATACAGGAGTTATCAGTGCGTTATATTGAGACTGTGTACCAAATAAACTATTCATTAATTTTGCTTCTTGTACATTCGCCTCTATACAATTAAAAATGGAATTTTTAGTTATATATTATAAGAATTATTACGGATTTTACCATTAATTTTAATGAGCATAGAACCGAAAATGAAAAAATATAATGATTGGCACAACATCGATTCGCTGACAGCAGGAAAAACAAATGATGATAACTATTTAGTAATTCAATTCCAAAAAAGGAAACAAAAAAAGAATGAATAAGCCGTTATTCGTCTGTCTGCTTTCCGTCTCGCTGATTAATTTACGTGACATGATGGTAAAAAAATTTCATAGTCGACTTCCTTATCAATAGTGGTTTGAATCAGCATGCGCGACAACTTTATTACTATTATCATTCTGTCATACACGTACATACATATTGGTCATTTAAATGACAACGACTGACGAGAGAAAAAAAAGACGTTTGCTTTGCAGAGAGCTTATAAAGACAAGTATCTCGGTATTTGTAATGGTCTATTTGTGCAACGAGAAGCAATAGTCTATATTTGCATGATTGAAGTGAGCGCTAAAAATTATGGTAATAAGAAGAAGACGACGACTAACCCGATTAGTAGGCAATTAATAAGAGATAGAAAGACGCAACGAGAAAGAGAGAAAGAGAAAAAAAAGAACATAGCAATCAGTCTCTTCCTTATGTAAAAAAAAAAAATTGGTCGTTCACAATAGCCGAAGCGAAAATTTGTAAGTGTTTGATTTTATTTATTTCGGAAAAGAAAACGAATATGGTCTAAGCGCCAAAACACGAAGCGAAGATTAATTAGTAGTACCAAATGTAGGATCCCAATTTTTCAGTATAGCATTTTGATCGACTACATCTAAAATATGCGGTGCATTGAATAATATTGATAATGTACCAAAAGTTGTAACAGCAAAAAATATGTATAATTGTAATCGATCGATCACAGTAGCAATGTATTTCCAATCATCGCGAATCTAAAATTAGCATAAAAAAGAATAGCGATATATACAAACAAATAGATTCGATTTCATCTATGTTAATACTTCTTCATAATGAGTAGCTGATCTCATTTGATTTGCAATAAAACTTAGATCTTCAACGGCTTCATAGACTTCTTTTGTTAATAGAAAATCCATTTGATCAGTTTCCTCATTGTCTATTGTTGTTAATGATGGTTGACTATTCGAAAGTGATGTTGCAACTGTAACAACATGTGGTGCACGTGAAGAATGCAATATTGTTGGTCCCATAGTCTCGTCTTCATTGTCTCGTTCATATTTGTTTGGTCTTTGCATGCGAAGTATTCGTGGTAATATATCAATAAAAAGACGTCTCATCCAATAAGGCATTTTATTAGTACGTGGTGTTCGATAGTTATAATTAATAATTAAAACTGTACAAAATATTGTTAAAATATTCATAATAAATGTAAATAAGAGATATTTAGCTATTAATGGTATAACAGTAGAAGTAGGAGGCAAAATTTTCGATATAAGTAATAGAAAAACGACTAATGCTAATAGAATTGATATAGATAATGTCATTTTTTCACCTGCATCAGTTGGTAGATAAAAAACAAAAATTGATAAAAATGAAATGAGCATCTTTTTAAATGCAAAAAAGGAAAGACAATATTTTTTTTTATAAACAAAATTCTTAATTTTTTACCGTTGGGATAATTAAATTAACTGTATAAAAAAGTGTTTTACGTCTTATAATAAGTTTACATACAAATTCAACACGATCATGCCGATAGCTTTTTTCAAATAATTGATTTGCTTCATCGGACGGATGTTGAATAGTCATGGGACCATCCATAAGATCCCATGAGCCGCTAACAACATAATCTTTTATTGTAACATTTCGTTCGATCTCATCATAATAGGTAAAATTTACTTGATGTTGATTATATGTCCAAGAGCCAAAACGCAATTCACAGACTTGCTGATCTAAAATTTGAAAACAACAGAGTTTTTAATCAAGCGTTATTGAATATGTAAAAAAACCGCAGTACCAAAAGGAAAAAATTTCACATCAATGTAACAGCTTGACTTATAAATGGCTGGTGGAACCCAATTCATATCACCATTATGATACACAACGACATGTGATTTAAATGATGCTTCATATTTCCCATCGGCATTATTAAATAAAACAATCTAAAATATAGACGTTTTTTCTATCTTTTTCTAAATTTTCGCATATAGAGATAACTAACATCGGGAGTCCACACTTGACTCGGCGGTACACGTATGGATTGAATGCCACCATATTTTTCTCGTTTCCATTGCATTTGATAATCGTGCCACTTCTAAACGAACAAATTTCTATTGTCTACTTATCATTCTCTCTTTTTTGCTGTTGCTGTTGCTACATACGACTTGTAGCCAAACATTTGTTTTAAGTACTTGCTCTTTTTCAACTACACTTATTAATTGTAATAGAGCAATACTAAACGAAACAGTTATTGTTTCTTCTAATTTTCGCACAGGACGTATCAATGGATTATAATTTTGAAATAGTTCTTTAAACAATTGTTCTTCATGAGTAGAACTGTCGACGGCTATTTTTGTTCAACAATAAACGACAAAAATAAAAGCAACGGCAATTTATGTTAATTGGTAATATTTAGAAAAATAGTATACCGTTTTTGATTAAGAATACTGTACCAAATAGAACGATAGACAGTCTGAATTGCATTGACCTATGAAAGGAAGAGACACAAAAAATCGAATGTTAATAGACTTTAATAGAGAAGCTAGTTTTTTTTTCTTTCTTTTTTTTATAGGGTTTAGGTTTTTTCGATATATATTAAAAGCTCTAAGTGAATGTAAATGAATGGTTGATTTGCATACGGAATAGAGAAACGATGAATGAAAAGAAAAGGATTTGTTTTGATAAAAAATAAAAGAAAACTACTAGAGAGGAAAAGAAAAGATAGAAAGAACTTTAGATGAAATAATGTCATCAATGTTATTCTTAGTCTTTCTCTCTTTCTCTTGTTGCTATTTCTCAAGAAACATTAAGAAAAGCGATGATGATGATGATGATGATGATGATGAAAGGAATGTTCTTACAATCAAAGTGAACTAGAAAGTTTATCCCAAGGACGTAGAATATCATCAGTCGATGTCCTAATAAAATCTAATTATACACATATGCATCGAAGCTATTCAATCAGAAAAGAGAATAAGAAAAATCGTCATTCAAGGTAACGAAGTTTTGTTTTTCTACAGATCGTATCATCATCTGTTTCCTTTTTTTTTAACTATTGAATTCTATGAGAAGGGAAGTAGCAAAATAAACTAACTTTATTCTCTTATATTATTAAGATAGGATGCTTTTTCTTACAAACGTAATATAACCTAATAATGATGCCGAACGTCTTGATTTAATCTAGTCCAATCATATACGCATGTATTACTCCCGTTTTAACAATGATCGGAAATCATTCGTCTCGTTTCTAATATTGTTATACCCATAAGACCGTATGCATTATATTACTCGGTAAAATCATATGCAGACAAACGATAATTATCAAGAAATCATAGCAAAAGAAATTCCATTACCTTTCACCTCTCACAGCTCGAATCTCATTAGTTCTAACTGATACTAAGATGAATGTCTCTGATTCGAAGCCTTTCTGTTTTTCCTACTTTTTTCTCGATTTACGTTAGATTAACTTTAGCGTACTAAACAGCCTGGCCTCGATTAATTTCTCTGCAATTATGTAAAACAGTGACAGTAACTTCTTTTTTTCCCCTATAGTTTATTTATCGGCATATCATTATTATTTCTATCCATATATACCATTATTCAATTAACACGCGTGATGAGATAAGCATATTCTCTTACTGGCAAGAAAACCGTACATATGTTTTTCTTATGTATTCACGTTAATTCAATATATTCTTCTTCATATTTATAATTAAAATACTTCTGAGAAAGAACTTATTTTAGATTATATTCAATAAACATTTCCATGCATGGAGACGAGTATTATTATGATTCTAGGAATATTTTGTACTTATTTGTGTTTTTTTACCAGTAAGTAATAAATGAATTCGAATAAGAAAAAAGAAACGCAAAAATCTACTTTTGATCGTATGAATTATTTTCTAGTTACAATTGCTAATCCTGAAGCTAAACGTTTATATGAAGAATTGATTAAAGTACGTTCATATAATAAATTAATTCGACCAATTAAAAATAATAGTGAAAAATTGACCGTTTATTTGGGCCTTCGTCTAACACAACTACTTGATGTCGTATGTATAATATTGTTCTGCTTAATTAGATCCAGAAGGTTCTTGTATGTATGCTTCTCAGGACGAAAAAAATCAAATAATGACATCAAATGTTTGGTTAAAACAGGTAGAATATTTCTAGTATTCATCGATTTAGTTTCTACAGAGATTTTCATATCTAAATAGGAATGGTATGACGATAAACTTCGATGGGAACCAAGTAAATATGGAGGCGTCGACGTACTCTACGTTCCAAGTCAGCAAATATGGCTGCCTGACATTGTTTTATATAACAAGTAATTATTTACGTTTTGTTATTCTTACAGTCGATAGATTAATCTATAGTTAGCTGCAACCTACAGCTGTAAATTATGATTTATATCAGAATATATGCGTGGTTAAGTCAAATCGTACGGTAATAAAAATACGAAAGATGTCCAATAGAGAAACAATTGTCTACATAAACTGGAAATTAGTTTTCCTGATGTTCTTTCCTTGATGGTATGTTAATAAAAAACAAAACTATCATTGAAAGTAGATAATTCTGAAGTCAAATATTACTGAAAAAAATCGTTGTTGTTTTATTTTTAGTTGGAGTATTCATGACTTGATAAAATATGTTGCCTTTTGTAACTTATGTAACTCATATTCTATTTTTAATTTTTAGCGCAGATGGGAATTATGAAGTAACATTAATGACAAAAGCAACAGTTCATTATGATGGCCGTGTTATTTGGGAAGTATGGCAATAAATATAAAGAATGCAAAAGCGCTATTATACGATGTTTATATTTTTAGCCACCAGCCATATACAAATCAAGTTGTACAATCAATGTTGAATTCTTTCCATTTGGTTAGTTAGAATGTATAAATAATAAAACGCTTTCGAGTGTATAATAAAGACGCAAAATATCAAGAAAATAAATGACACATAACGGATATAGAGGTTGGCAAATTCGGATCTGCTAAAAAACTTTCTCAGATATCTCTGACAAAATTCTTTGAAACATTTGACTGAGACTCTGAATTAGAAGATGCTGTGGGAACAACAAACTATATGCTAGACAGAATAATTCGTATCATATCAAGAGATTCATTCAATTTTTTGTTCTTCGCGGATAAATAGAAATTTTAACGGAAGAATATTATCATTTTAAGTATCAAGCTACTTACGTGTCCTTTCATATAATTTTTTTTTAAAGAGTTCTATAGACAAATAAGTATGGACTGTGGAGTTTATTCAGAAAATACCCTGGAGCAAGATTCTTCTCTATTGTTTTTTTTTTATTAAGATGAGTAGACTTCAATCAAGAATTCAATTTTGAAGCAAAATTTACTACTATTTTGACTTAAATTGAATATTTCTGAAAAGAGAAAGTTATTTTTAAAATTATCATTTAAGATATTCAACATTGTCAAATGAAATTTGGCTCATGGACTTACAATGGTGAACAAGTCGATCTTGTTCATATAAATCAAACTAATGGTTCAGCACCTGTCTATGGAAATAATAGTAAAATTTTTGTTTCATTCATTCATTCACATTGTCTTTTTAATAATACTAGGCGTACCCTATGCTATTGATCTAACGGATTTCTATCGCTCAGTAGAATGGGATATTATGGAAGTTCCTGCTCAAAGAAATGTACGAAAATATACATGCTGTCCACAAACATATACCGATATAACATTTTTAATTACGATTCGTCGTAAAACATTATTTTATACCGTTAATCTAATAATTCCATGCGTTGGAATATCATTTCTAACTGTTTTAACATTCTATTTACCATCAGATTCTGGTGAAAAAGTGGCACTTTGCATATCAATTCTACTTTCACTTACTGTATTCTTTTTACTGTTAGCTGAACTTATTCCACCAACATCACTAGTTGTACCATTGATTGGAAAGTATCTTTTATTTACAATGATATTAGTAACGTTATCCATCGTTGTTACTGTTACTGTACTTAATATACATTTTCGTTCGCCATTAACACATCAAATGCCACCATGGGTACGACGAGTTTTTCTGCAGGTTCTACCGCGACTATTATGGATGCGTAGGCCTAAAACTGTCGATCCATTACAATATCAACAACCCATATATCATGCGAACAAACATACAACATCAAAATTTGTTGTACCATTACTGCATGCGAAACCGTATAAAAAAGGTCAAATTAATAAACGTCTACTTCGTGATAGTAGTTTTGATCGAGATGTTATTGAAAATATCGACGATGATGATGATGAAGATGAAATAAGACAAATGGAACATCAACCGCAATCATCACTTTATCCTAATGAAATCAAAAAGGCATTTGATGGACTAAGATGTATTGCAGCACATATGAGACAAGAAGATGGAGAGAAAAAAGTAATTATGGAAAAAAAATTGACTTCAATGATGAAAATCATAGTTTGACTTCTGTCAAATGGGAGAGAATCATTGCTGGAGCTGTTCGGGTCCAACTCATCGAGGCAGTATGATGAACCAAGATAATTGCTTATCTTTCAAAAATAATATAATTAATCGATATTGATATGACTGTAATCGAGTGCATACCATTAGATCCTGATAATGGCTTCTGTAGCTTTACTAGTTATGAGTACTTCATTGATAAACTCCAGCAAGGTCTATACTAAAAATAAACTCTACTAAATTTCAACACTAACAGGACCATCTTGCTCCTATTTCTGCAAACAAAACCGAGCTCTCTATGCGATTGAAAATCGAATGCACAATCTATTATAGCTATGAACTCGAATAAAAATCTTTATACTTATTTTTGTTTTTAAGATCAAAGAAGAATGGAAATATGTAGCATTGGTGATCGATCGTCTTTTTCTTTATATATTTACGACAGCTTGTATTGCTGGCACTTGTGGAATTATTCTACAAGGTATAATATAATTATCATAAATTTATTGATGAATTTTTTTTTCTTTTTAGCACCATCAATTTACGACAATCGAAAGCCCATCGATATTATCAAATCTAATCGATTTTAATATAATTTTCAACTATTTTGTGTATTCTTCGATACGCGAGGAAAATGCCGTATAAATATATGTATAGAAAATTACTGTCAACCTAATAAAATAAAATAAAAATTCTAGTCTCAATTATTGAATATGACATTTTTATGATTGCCGATAAAAGTTTATTATCATTAGCATGATATTTTCAATCCATAATTGAATATATTATCTTGATTTTGTGCAAGAGACTCTTCGTTGTAGTCTTGCAAATCATTTTCTGTACTAATTCGAAATGTCAAGAACAAAAAAATTTTCATAATCTAATGATAAAAATTTCTTTCGAAAAAAGCCAACCGAAGTTTTCTTTTTCATTTCTCAAAAATCATTGACGTGGCATGTCAAGGCTATTGTATCATCATATTATCCAGCTGATGCCACATTTCATTGATTGATATGCAGAACAAAATATTTAAGATCAACAAACAGTATAAAACATTAAACAAAAAATAATGATGAAACAAGTCAATTTTACTTTAGTCATAATGATGATAACAGTTTGTATTATCAATACTGCTCGAATACCGATTGCAGGTTTGTTCACATTCGATTTTTTTCCATGATATAATATACATATATCTTTCATAGGAAGTTTCAATCCGTTTGTTGATAAAAATCAACCTGATGACACTGAAAATAAAGCGCATTCAAATGTTAATTTACCTTCTCTTAATTCAATTCATGGTCATGTTCATCGTTCATCGGATACGAATGAAACTGAGTCCATTAAAAATAATACGCACGTGGAAAAAGCTGGCCCATCATTAGATATTATTGATTCACATCCACATTCACATGATGAAGAAGACAACGAGTCTATTTTAGACAGTGCTAAACGCTTGTTAATACAACCATCCGTCAATATGCTTGATGCCCAATTACACGGTGGACATGATCATGTTCATGATAATAATCAAACTGATAATCAAGCAGCTGATTTAAATGATTTTTATCTTTGGTTAAAAGAACAAAATGAAACAAATCAATTAAACCGTTTTATATCGCTACAGAAAGAAGTGAATCAATACAAATTTGATAACGGAGAAGATTTAAAAGATAAACTAAGTCGTACTATTGATGCTTTGAAGTCAGCTGTTAAAGGACAACCACGAAAAAAACATGATTTGTAGCACATTTGGGCCGATAAGACAAAAAGAAGTCAATATTCATTTATTTGTTAAATTTTAAATTACATAAAACAAGAGACATTTTTAATAAATAAACTAGAAAATAAATTTATGTTCAAGTTTCTTAATAGCATTCACATTGATATTAAATGTTTTGAAATGCCGTTAACAACTTCGATTACGTTTTCCAATTAGATTAACATTCGCCTGTAGTCCGACTAACATCATCAGCTTAAAATAAACTCCATTACAAGAAAGTGCTTCAATAATGAATACATTTGATTTTGCCGTATGTGACTACGAAAATCAGTCAGTCGAGTCGACTCTTGTTTCTGTGCGTAGCGAATCAGACAGCGTCTTTCGCTTGTTGACTGTGAGTGCTCAATTATACGCTTAATTGAGTTATTTGAAAATAAAATCATCAACCGTATTCACTTGTATAGTGTTACCATCAACTACAAGAATAACGTGATATTTGTTTCAAAAAATACAGACGCGCTCGTGATAGTACTACGATGGCAGCAGTTTATATATGACGAAAATAGCATGGATTCATATCTGAATTCGATTGTCTATAAGTCTGATTTGTTTTAAATTACGGTAATTGTACTGCATTTTATCTAGCTATGTTAATGCAACAAAGAAACGCAACTGATTTCTCTATAAGGAATCATTCGCCAGAGCACCCGATAACCAGTGTCGGTGGACATCTATAATTTTTAAAAATATATTTTAATGAGAATAATGAATAAGATAATACAAACATGATAATTAAATTAATGATATTTTGACTGAAATATTTTTATTCCATTATCGCATAGGTCTTGCATTGCATTGGCTAGACAAATACACGAATAAAGAATTCAGATAATCGTCTCTATGATTAATACTGTCAATAGCGAACGCGATCGTTGCGCACAGAAAAAAGTCTTAGTTAAAACTAAACAATCGAATGGCACGTCTTCTACGTAATACAACGTTTGGACAATCACCCAGACAAATGCAAGATGGTCCCACCGCTCAAGATGCACCGATGGTTGATACAGCTGAACAAGTTTATATATCATCATTATCTTTACTTAAAATGTTAAAACATGGTCGAGCTGGTGTACCAATGGAAGTGATGGGGTAGAAAATAATCATATTTCTATTTAATTCAAAAAGAAATATTTTATTCTTTAGATTAATGTTAGGAGAATTCATTGATGATTATACAGTTCGTGTTGTCGATGTTTTTGCGATGCCACAATCTGGCACTGGTGTTAGTGTTGAAGCTGTTGATCCAGTTTTTCAAGCTAAAATGCTTGATATGTTGAAACAAACTGGTCGACCTGAAATGGTCGTTGGTTGGTATCATTCTCATCCAGGTTTTGGTTGTTGGCTATCTGGTGTAGATATGAATACTCAACAGAGCTTCGAAGCTTTAACTGACCGTGCAGTGGTACGTTTTTAAGTGGTATTTTATTTTATTTTTCTATAAAAGTTAACTTTCATATTTAGGCTGTTGTCATTGATCCTATTCAAAGTGTGAAAGGCAAAGTTGTTATAGATGCATTTCGTTTAATAAATCCGCAAACATTTATTCTTGGCCAAGATCCTCGACAAACGACATCAAATTTAGGTCATTTAACAAAGCCGTCTATTCAAGCATTGATTCATGGTCTCAATCGTCATTATTATTCGATATCTATAAATTATCGAAAAAATGATTTAGAACAAAAAATGTTGCTTAATTTACATAAAAAATCTTGGATGGATGGTTTATCTATTGAAGATTTTAATAAACATAATCAAGAAAATAGTAATGTTATTAAGCAAATGCTTGATCTATCAAACAACTATATCAAATCATTAGAAGACGAAGAAAAAATGACACCAGAACAATTAGCTATAAAGAATGTTGGAAAACAAGATCCTAAACGACATTTAGAAGAGAATGTTGACGCTTTAATGACTTCAAATATTGTTCAATGTATTGCTACTATGATGTCTTTAGTTATATTTAAATAGAATCTGCTTTGTTTACTTGTATTTTTATGAGGTTGTTTTCTTTTTCAAGTAAAACAAAAAATATTTAAACAAGAGAATCTGCCAATAAAAATCATACTTAAAAATATCTTATTATGTTATGAATATAAAACAGTTGCAATGACCCACACCAATCTGAAAGAATAAAAACTAACAATATAAAGTTTCACATAGCGCATGCATTTCTGTATATTTGAATCATCGAAACGGCGCATTGCTTATTTTATTCGATCGTATGCGTTATATACCATGATACTAAAAAAGTAAGTAATAGTCATCCATATATTTAATCGGGCAAGGTTCGTTTTCGTTCTGTTCTATTCTGTTTTTCTTTTCTTCGTGTATGTCGTTTTATATAAAGCCATCTGATTTAGTAAGTACTATTTCTATACAACATTCTTACTCATTGATTATTTGGCATATTGAATTCATTTTATATTTACCCATTAAATAATGGAATGGCTGACGGGTTTTGGAATTTTTATAGTAATTATATTAGCTATTATATTAGGTGTTATCGTTGCGTGTATGTTAGGTGGTCAACGTTGTACACTATCGATACAACAACGACAACAAAATCATGAACTAACGCAAGTACAACAAGAGCAGGAAAAAAAACGACAGAAGAAATTAAGTTCAAGACTAAAACGAACATTCAAGTCAACATCGAAACCAGAACAGCCAGTAGAGCCTGTTGAAGATGTTAAAACTCTTGAATTTACATTTAAATTAGGCGATAAGACGAAGAAAACTGAACCATCAACACCAGAAAATGATGCAGCTGTGGTTCTTTTACCTCAAGTACGTGTTACTCACGCTGAAATCGACCAACGACAGAAGAAATATGATGCTATTCGAAAAAAATATAATATTTAAACGAAAATCTATACATTTCGTATTTCGATACTGTTCAATATATGACTCTTCGCTTCTTTTTTGTTTATTTCATTTTATTGAACAAATTTTTAACGAAAACATTTATCAAAAAATTAGCTACCCCTTTAGTTTTCAGCAGTACTAATATTTTAGGAAATAATTATCATACATATATATATATATATACTAGTGGTTGTAGATAGCGCTACTTGCTGAGCAGATCTCTTGAAGGCATACAAAAAAAGATGAGTTTGTCCTAAAAACGATTTACGTCAGCTCACGATACTTAAGTTAGAATATGCTGCTAATGAATCATTATTTTCATTGGAATGAAGTCAGAAATGGAAACTGTTTAAATGAAAATAGAATGTTCTTTAAAAAATGATTCAGACTCTTGCCTCATTTTTTTCTCCACTAGCCTGTTTCGGTTTGTGCATAGCAACCAATGGTTCTCTAGTGAACTCTTTAGACGGTTTGTTGAAAATAAGAATCATATGTATAAAAAATCGCAACTATTGGAAGTTTTTATTTCTTTTCTTTATCTCAAGAAAATTTATCAGTTTTCATCGTCATGAAATTTATATTCTTAACTTTTTCTACGGTCTAAACTGTTTTTTGAACATAAAATTTCGAATTATTTTTATAAACTCTGTATCATTCAATTTAAGATGAAAAAACACTTCTTTCTATTATGACTGACAGCGTGATTTGGTACAGTTATTTGAATAAGATTAGGTTTTTTCACGCATCGGAATTTGTCAGTAAGAAAAATTTTCGTCTTATCTGTATTTACCATATTGATCTGCACTATCTATTCATATCAAACAAGTCCACTCGTAAAGAACCGAAATTTACTGTGTACAACGAATGTTGTATTCTTTCTTCTGCGTGCACTAAACCTATCACTTGTGAAACTGAATTACAATGATTTTTTCCTTTAAAAATTTTCTTACCATTTCAAGCAATTTTCAATCCGTTCGTTTTATTTTTATGATGCTACTATTAAAAAATGTTCCGTAGGATCATATCTCAATGAAGAAACATAAATTCTACCAATCTTCTATTCGAATTAATTAATCCGAATCATACTAATTAAATTTAACAGGGAAATTTTTTCATAAGCGCGTTAATGATAGAAAAAAGCCAGTTCAGTCTAAATCCAAAACCGTCCATAATTATAGTTCACTTTATCAAATAGTTCAACAATTACATGTATCATTTGCTAATGCGAAATCCAAGAGATATTATTTTTTTTGCATGTTAACATTTGAAACAATAACGTTCACGAACTTCCGATAAAGTTTGTAATACACATAAATCGGCTCAATTTTTCAAACTGATTTTATTCATATTGTTTATTTTGATAGAAAATCAAGTCAACTATTTGATTCACGTATGACTCGTAGAATAATATTCCGTGATATATAATTTATTCTGAATTAGCGGACTCACAGTTTCATGCCGAAGAAGTTTGGTCACTCCAGAAACATTCTTCCTATTTTACAGAAAAAAGTAAAAACTTTCATGCTATCTTACATGTCGATTGTAGAGACACGCACAAGAGACATTCTTACTTTTTAGAAACTGTAGTTCACCAGTGACAACTGTTCTGTATTATCAATTTATATTCGATAGACAAGTGGCAATAGCATGATGCAAACAGTAGTATGAACGTGTGCCTCATGAGTTGTTTTTATTCAGGGAGAAGAAATATTTTCTGTCGATCGAGGCTCTTGAATAAATGAGAAAAATGATCATTGTTATTTTTTCACTTTTTAATTATCACTTTGAAGTGTTCAAAATCAGTACTTGAATTTATGGTGTATTAACATTCAATTAGCCATATCCAAGCATAGAATCAAAACTATCACAATAAATAGATATTCAATCAGAAAGACAATATAGAATTGATGTAAAATGAATTTTTTTATTTCTAAGAGCAACATTTGGACAGTAATTGTGTCAATGAATTCAATTAGCAATTGCCCTTGATCAACAATAAAAAATGTTTTCAATGTAATTATTTTTCTCGTTCCAAATCAGATGGTCGAACTAAAAAATACAAGGTTAAAATTCGCATTCGGTTTACTTTTTTGTAATTAATTCTTAAATGATGAGAAAAAAAGGGTCACCATCAACTTGATGATCCATTTGTTATTCTACAAAATTCTATTTTAATCCCGATTAGGAAAAGCAAACAAGTTATCTTGATTAGAATGCTAGTCATTCGAAATCGAACTGTATTTACTCATTTCAGACACGCCAGGGTGCCACATATATACATGCGTTATGATTGTTGTGCATACCGTTGCAAGTGATAGTCGTGTTGAGTGATTAGTGTTGTTTAAGTATGTAAGAGACAAGGAGCATGTAAATAGAATACTCTCAAGCTTACATCATTGGCGACAGAGCGAGAGAAAAAAAGAATTCATATAGCGTTTTTTTTTCAGGTGAATTAATTGCTCACATACATAACCCTCTTTTTCGCGATTGGATGTAGAAAGAAATAGATCAATACAAGAGAGGAAGGAGAGATGAAGCGAAGAGAAAAATTCACCAATCAGAAATCAGATAACATTTTCTTGTGCTCTATGACAGAAATTCTTTTCTTTTCATCAGAATAAAAAGAATATAGGTAGAAGAACAAACTTATTTTTCGAGACATGAGAAACCTGAACGAAATTCGCGAAAAGTTTCTTCTTTTATAGATTCCATAATGTCCAAAACGGAGAATGGCGAACTCAAATTTTCTATCCGACGCTTGATTGATACAACAACAGCATGTGCGAAAAAAGAAAAGCGCCTATCAAGTCAATCGCCTTCGAGTTGTCATTCTCATGCGAATCGTTCATCTAAACGATTAATGGTTGAAACTCAAACACCATTAATTTGTAGTCCAATACCAATGATCAACGATAAATTTCCTCATCCATATTGGGTATTTTTATCTCAATTATCAAATAGAACTACTCCGGGAACTTTACCATTACATTCATCATTAATTTTTCTTAGCAAAATGAGTCAATTATGGCAACAAGCTCAACAAACGCAAACTTCACCGTCAATACCAACAGAAAACGATAATGGTTCTGATGAAGACGCCGACATAGATACATCATCGATTCATAACGATAATGAAATAGATTTTGAAGAAAAGGATGACGATGACAACGACGACGACGACGATGATGATGATGATGAAATCGGTGAGTTTTCAAATAGTAGTGGCGATGATAAATTGCATCCTTCAACAAACAGTGAAGAAAATGATAAACTAAAAATTTATCCTTGTAGCCAATGTGGAAAAGTAAAAAATTGACTCCTATATATTTATATATAAAAATCAATCGTTGATTTCAACTAGGTTTTTACTGCTCAGTACAATTTAGTTCGACATATGCCCGTACATACTGGTATTCGTCCATTTATTTGCAAAGTAAAAAAAATTTTTACCAATGAGAAGAATTGATTTTTTTTATCATGATTTAAATTTCAAGGTATGCGGAAAAGGTTTTCGACAAGCATCAACACTATGTCGTCATAAAATAATTCATACATCTGACAAACCACATGCTTGCCGAATATGTGGCAAAGCATTTAACCGTTCATCAACATTAAACACACATATGCGCATTCATCAAAATTTTAAACCATGGGTAACATATGAATAAATCTTTGCCTTGAAGAAACTCTCTGCTTTTTAGATTTGTGAATATTGCGGAAAAGGTTTTCATCAAAAAGGAAATTGGAAAAATCATAAATTAACACATTCAACTATAAAACAATATAAATGTTCGATATGTTCAAAAGTAAAATCATGAGTCATTCTTCTCTTTTAAATTTATTTATTCGATCGTTTTAGGCATTTCATCAAGTCTATAATCTAAAATTTCATATGTTTACGCATTCCGAAGTAAAACCCTATACATGTAAGATATGTTCAAAAGGTTTTTGTCGAAATTTTGATTTAAAAAAGCACACGCGCAATGTACATGTAAGTAATCCCAATACCGGAAGGAAAAATCAAGACTAAAACTTTTGTCTTTTCTTCTTCTCCTGCTTTTTTTTTGTATGTGTGTTTAATAAATAAATCTATTTTTGCGTGTAAATTGATCGAAGTCACTTTATAAACATGCAACAAAATACGACAAATGGTCTATTGATGTTTACATGTTCATCATCATTCGAGAGAGAGGGAGAAAGAAAGGAAGCCAATGCGATGATTAGGAAAGGCGGGATTTGAATCCTACACATTTTTTTCTTGTTGTCTTATTGTATTCATAGTGTAACTCATTTATTTGATGCATGCGTTTTTCACTAATTGTAAAGCCTGCTAAACGAAGCCCGTCGGCAACGAGTACATCCGTTTGTGTTGTGGAAAAATACTGTTGAACGGAAAAAGGACATATTAAAAAAAGATGACAGGATACGTGCTTGGTACGATGTTCTATTTTAATAAAGGTAGGAACGCCTTTTCCATGGATTAAACACCTTGTCCATTAGTTCGATAAACGATTTTGTGGTTGTATAGATATCAGAGAAAGTAACCAGCTATTGTATTTTGCTAGTGGCGATAAATAGAAAGAAGTCCACTAAAAATTGTATATTTTCTTGGCAGCGATTGTTAGTTAAATTTTGCTTGTAAAGTAGAAAATCGAGAAAAACTAACTGCTTTTCTTTCCTATGATTACTATTGAAAGTCAAACTTTCTCAATCAGATTTTGTTTACTAATACTGTGAGAAGCTCAAGGTTTGAGGTGCTCGCGAAACAAAAATGAATTCTATTGAAAGTATTATACAACATTCTCTTTAATCAGTTTTCTCAAATTATTAATTATCAAAAAAAGAATCTTGCCGTCTGAAAGTATCGAATCATAGTTATCATCGTACTCCTCAATGATTGGTTTTCAACAATATTAATACGACTAAATCTTAAAATAAGAAACAATTATCAACGGGAAACTATCGGCATCAATTGTGTATTTTTTTTCATGTCCACTGGCCATTTTTACTAAAGCTTTTTGTTGTATAGAAAACATTTACATATTTCATCAAACAACCAATTATTATTCCGAATGATCAATTTAATTTAAACGATTATTTTTCGGAGCTATAAGAAACGTCGAATAGTAACAGTTAGAAAAAGAAAATTGTTAACCACTTGTCGCTTCGCTCGGATCCCTGCAGTGTATACAAGACGATGATCATCATCGTTTTTTCTTGGTTCTTGTTCTTTACTCTGTTGTCGGCCAAGAGCACTCATAATCGACAAGAAGAAGAAAGAAAAAGAAATCAGTTCCATATTGTAAATTCATTCGGCATTCTTTTCTTTCTTTTTTTTCAACACTATTTTAATAGGATCTTTTGCTCTGCCTCATCACCACTTGACAACACTCAAACAATCGAGGACATCTCGATGTATATATGCTTGATCATTAGTCAAAACGACGACACGCAAATTGGATCCCCAGTGAATTTTGTTTTTTTCATCGGCATCGTCTTGTATTTGATTGGTCGATTAAATAAGAAAAAAAATAACATAGCTAAAACTCGATTAATTCTAGAAGTAGATTTATTAGAAGTCAGAATTTATTTAAAAAGCTTTTTGCTGATTGGAAAATTACAACAACCAATAATCATAATTCTAGACTATTTGATTTTCTATTAAGGATGTCATCTTTTTGAATTAGCATTTTTCTTAAAAATGTATGACATAGATACGAACAAAACAGCAGAAAACTCGTTATTTAATGATGTGTAAAAGTGAGGCTTGCTCGTTGTTCTTGTATGACTTTCCAAGCTAATGAGCATGTTCTTGAGATTTGAATGAAAATAATGTTTCATTCAAATTAATAGGGTAGTCAGAAGAGACGCGCTAGACAAAAATTTAAGCTTACAGAGTGAATATCCCAGTTAGAAATCATAATTATTTCAAATTTTTTTGTTAACAAGTGGGCAGAGCTTAATAAATATTGGGGAAATATCTACGAGATAAAATGAATATTCTTTACACTTTTTCGAAATTCCTAAAAGAGAATTATTTGAATTTTACAAGTCAATTGTTTCACACTGTAAAATTGCTCAGCTGGAAGTTAGCACATCCAAAAAAACGATGCTGCCTGAAGTTCCTCTTCAGAAATCTAACATAACGACAAACAAAATAACATTCATGGTTCATAATATTCTTCTGTTATATACAGTTGACTTTCTTTACGAGGGATTTAATTCTGAATGTGCAAATTGCAATGAAATATGTAATTGGATTCAATAACATTTTCAAAAATCTGACTTGTAAAAACGTCCGAAGTTAACTTCTAGCGTCTTTACTTCTCTATTGCTTTTCGAGAATTTACGATGGTAGAAGTTCGTTCATGAATAATCATCGGTAAAAACCATTGAAACTACAACACATTATCAAAACAATTATTTCCTTAAAAAAGAACTCGAATTTTCGACTAATCCACACTGGAAAGTCAAGTATGATGAGAATCCTGCTTGTGCAGAACGTCGGTAACGCACAGGTGCTTTTTTCAACTTTGAACGAATTCTTCTGCAGAGTAGTAAGAGAGAAAGATTCGTAATTGTTAACAGGTACATATGTGAGTAAGCATAATCGATAATACTCAAAATTTTGAGTCCCAACTGTCTACGTGTTTAAATTTTATAAATAAAATACTATATAGTCGGTGGCATACAGATAAAACGAGCAGTCGATTTTTCGTGAGCGCGATAGAAATGATCTCCACGTTGGTGAATTTAGTGAGAAGAGATTTTGTATCTGAATGCGAGCATAGAAAAATGCACAAACTATTGGCATAACATTAAGTAACGTATAGCACTGGCGGATCTACCAGTTCGGCTACCCGGCGCTCGCCACCCCCCTGAGAATAGACGGGACAACGAAATATTTTTAAAGGCTTAAATAATATTAGAAGGTCGAAAATAAAATGAATAGCCGAAGGGAATCGGAAAACTACAATTGATTCTCATCATCTTGAATATTACGTAAGTAGTAGATCAAAAAATATAAATAGCGTTTGTTCGTTTTCAGCTTCATTTCTGTCCTTTTTTAAACTGCTACCCGAAATGTTTCTGCGATTCTTATATTCACCAAATCATATCTTTCAATAAGAAAATAAACCACAAGATTTTGGTGCGAAACGTTCGAAAACTGTTTTAGTTTAGTAATAAAAGTTCCACAAAAATCATGAATATAAGTAATTAGAAAAATCTGGTTAATTATAACCAATTTGCATCGACGAATTCGCTAAGTTCAGTCGTCGATTAGTTTTTAGATTTTATTGCGCAACTTTATTTCTAAAAAAATTGTTTTTTCCATGAAATTATAGATATATTGCGCAAAAATTAAATAAGCAATGGAAAGAAAACTGTAGTACTTTGATTTATATATTTTCGAAAAAAAATTCTCTGCGTTCGTATTATATAATTTAGAAAGCGCGGCCCCCTCTAAAAATTCCTGGGTCCTCCACTGACGTATAGACATGTAATTTCATAGAAATCTTCCAGAGTTACAATTTCGTTGCATGAACCTGCACAGAAACTCTCAATGAGGAAAATTAGTTATTTTATGTCCGAGAAACAGGTCTTCTCAACGTCAATCATACTGGTTGGCTGTTAGCCGCTTTGGTTCTATCGTTAGCAATGAATACATTATCAAGAAACACAATTTGACGGTAAGATTTCAAAAATAAATATGAACTTCTATGGAATCTATTGCTCCCCAATTTGCTGTTCATGGAATGAGTCTCGATTCGCATATTTTTTCTCAATGACGAATTTGCGTTTTCGCTAATTCTCAACAGTCATTGAAAGCAGCAGACGCGTATATTGTTGCCCTTCCCAATGTACAGCTGTATTCATGATCGTATTTGTATTTCGCATGACAATCTTAAACGAACAACGAGCATTTTAACGGATTGAAAAGAGAAAAATTAATAATTCGACAGGAAACTTGGCGCAAATATATGTTAATGAAATCTTCACATATTTTTTTTCTTCTATTCTATGTCTACATCAAATAAACGCTTCTTTCACGATGATCTATCTCAACAATATTCCCTAAATTCAAATTCAACAATTAAAAAACGCATTTGTACATCACTCGTACCAACGGTGCCTCGAAGTGTTACAAATTTTACACGAAAGTCAACTCTCAATCGTCGCTCGATATCATCCGATGTGAAGTCAAATACAAACAATTCTTTATTCTATGGAGAAGAAATGACTATCGATGTTAATAAATAAAATAAAACCTTACGAGACATGAAATTATTCTCACAGCATGTTTTTGTTTTGATTCAATATTATGCGCTTAACAAGAAAAATTATAATTTAACATTCTTTTTTTTTTCATATTTTATTTATTTAGTTCGTTTTTATGAATAACAAAAAACAGAACAATTTAACCATAAGCATTTCTGCTGACGATCAATTAAGATCATCGAATACGAAAAATCACAGAATAAAAATCGATTCAAGTTCTACACACATATTATATCCAACGATATCCGATGTGAACAATACACCATCAGTACCAATTTGTTATAAACAAGGAATTATAAATAAGAATCTTGATAGGAAAATTGAAACAATATTTGAATAGAAGACTACGGTTTTGTTTTTAGTTATACATTTTCACATTGAATCATTAAAAATGAAATAATAATCAGTCGTCTATTTCTTATACGATGTAAGCAAAATGAAACGATTGTAGTTGCAATAGTAGTTAAGCACATTCATTCTTTGTTTGTTCTTCTTCTTCTTGGGCGTTTTTCTTTTTCCTTTTTTCACTCATTTTTTGATGATATTATTGGCGTGTGTCGCTGTTAGCTACCCAAACACTAGAAATACACTTTTGATTATAAACGAGTGGACGAAGATTAATTTTTATCTTTACAACAGCTTATCATGAGTCAAGTTCAGATTAGACAAATATCGGCGAAATCCTTCTCCAATAATCAGCAAGTTATGGGTTCATGGGTAAGAAGAATTATCGAAAATGATTAATTAATTCTTTAGTCTCCGTATAGTTTCCAACGGGTTATTATGGTCATTTTCGAGCAAAATCTCGAATTGATATATGCAATGATTTTCGTCAGCTTGCACGTCCAGATCCACCGAGAAAATTTCTAGAACGACAAAATGTAAAAAACAGAGTCTCTCTCTCTCTAACATATAATGTTATGCTTTGATTAATTTAGTCTGAAGCTTCTACACATAAGTTTTCACAGCATGATAATAAGTTTAAATTTGAATGTGATCCACTTGTTCGAAGTACTCAACCAGTAAGAGAATAAATTTTTTTTTTCTTGATAGAAACTATTTTTCATATCATTTACTCGAAGGGTTTTGGTAGGCGAAAATTAAAAACAAATGCACAAGGAAAATTCGATCCAATGTTTATTGGTTGGATTCCAAAAAATGTCGACCGAAATCAATACATTGAAAATACGAAAACAACTTCCTATGCATATGATTATAATCCGAATTCGACGTCACTGCAATTTTTTTCAAATCTTGAATCAATTCATTCGCCATCCAGTACCAATAAGCTGAGTGTTTATTCCTCTGTTTTCAATCATGGTCAACCTGATAGAGAGCAATCGAAACAAGTCCGCCAAGAAACATTTCAAAGATATTCTTCGGCTTTAACCCGTCGTTTCGAAATCAAACGCACCGATCGTAGCACAAGTGTAGCCTCATGTCTTATATGGAACACGGGAAATGATGAAAATAAATTAACTACAACTAATAATGAGCCAACGATTAGTACGAATCCATCAAATTCTAATATTCAAGAAAATGATTCGTCTGTAGTTAATCAAGGAAAGCCATATCAATGTCAACCTATGCAAACATTTACAACAGGTGTGATGACATCACGAGACAATCGTAATAATCAAGTAAAATCATCATGTCAACGAGCGACTTCATTAAAAGAGACACGTACAAATAGCATGGATAATCTTATTACAAAATATATGTAAAACGAAACCTTTTAAGCAAAATAAAGAAACCAGCAAAAATTCGGTTTAATTAAAACAAACTTTTTGTCTATTGATCTTTCTTTTCTTTGTTAAACAGAATTGTTTAATTTAAAAATTTTAGCTTTATTATCAATGAATCGGCTGAAGAGAAAGAACGTAAGACGTCGTTTCAGATCGAAATCATGCCAACAGTACGAACTTAAGTGTGAAAGACACGTTCGTAATATAGAACTTGTTAAATTCTTTTTGTAATTGTCAAGCTCTTCAATATTGTCTTTTACATGTCGAATTTCACGAAATAATTATTGTTTTCTTTTGTCGTTTACAAGGTACTCACGCAACTAAACAGCTAAAAAGAACACAATTAATAATTGCATTTTGTATAGCTTATGTTTATTCATAGAGTGTGTGTGTATGTGGTAGAAACGCGAAGAATGTTTTGATTATTAAAAGCATTTTGTTTCTTTACATCGTTGGATTGTAAAGAACAAAAAATAAACGAGTTCACCGATTTCCTTTTGACCCGTTCTTTTTGCTTGATTTGATATGTGTATAAAAATTTTCTCTAACTATTCAATTCATGACTATGTATCTTTAATCGTATTACCATTTAAATTGAACAGTTGAATTAACTGTCTCATTCATTTTAGAAAGTTTCCTTTAATTGTGCAATGTGTAATAATAGTAAAGGAATTCTGAAAAAATGCTTGGTTTGGATCACAATAAGTCTTTCACAATGAACTATGGTATCTATTCGGGAATCAAAATTGCAAAAGGAAAGTGAATAGTTTATTTATACATAACAAAAACAACTTTTTATACGATGGATCATGTTTATCGTCATTTCAGGGTATTAATAGACAAGTTTTCAATATGAGCAGTGCACTAGGCTTTTATTTCCGTCTTGAACTCCAAATATTTTTACCATAATTCATTTTAATAACAGTCAAGACCTTAAACTTATTAGACGTCATCTAGATAGTCGATCCGAAAATAGAGTATTTACTGTAATAAAGCGACTGTATTGTTGAGATTGTCAAAATGTTAGGCTTTACTGTAAATATATGAAGTTCATAGGATTCAGAGAAAAATGATCATTGAATCTCAACTGAATTATTAAACATTTAAACAAAGACCTATTCGATGAAAGTCTCACATCAATGATACAAATATACCAGCAAACGGCTTCTGGTTAGGCTTTCGAACAGAATCTTCCTAGCTAAAAACTTTCCTATATAGTTTCTTCAGAGAAACCATCTACTTATAATAAACCTATAGTTTAAGTAGAATCCCTAACTGTAGTTTCGACATCATTTTTTGCACGATCTATTTAGAAAATGTCATCGGATATCTACGAATGTATTGGTTTGAATCGGAGACATGAAAAAACAAGAAAGCAAATAAGCTTCGAATCTATAGATGCAAAATACCTTACACAATTAATACCATTTCTTCTTAACAAAATCTAAATGAACTATTTATAGATGGTATTCGAGTTTTACTCGTTTATGAAACGCGATGAGAAGCATTACTTGAATCTTCGATTAAATCCAAAATACGAATTATTTATGTTTTAATTCACTAGAAATCTGTATTCTGGTTAGGAAAAAGAAAAGCTTCTTTAGAATAACTTATCCAATTTTCAAATACGCCTGAGGTAGCCATATTAAAATTCATCACTGAGAAAACTCTACTCAAGCTTATCAACATATGCATAGACAACGATATCGATTGATCGATTAATTATCTCCATTGTTCATTCTCTCGATCTTGAGACTCACATTATATTTGAATATATAATTTAGGATTTTCCTTTCTTCAGACCATTCGGTCACACGATGATGAAATAAGATGTGTACGTCGAGAAAGTAATGTAAAAATGAAAGAAAGCTAGATGTTCCATTTATGTAAATTGAAACTTTTTTCGAAATAGTCAATATTTGATTCTCTAGAAAAATGAACATGAATCCCATAAAATTAAAGACTAAAACTTTACTGGATTATTGATGCGTGATTGATGTTTCAACTTGGTGAAGATCTATTTTGTTTGTATATTTAAGAATTTTGAGGGTGTGGATGTGGATGTGCAGGGCCCGCGAAAGTGGGGGGGGGGGGGGG